GGCCTTCAATGACTTCTCTTCTGCACTAGGTGACCATGGTCTGAAGTTGGCAGTTGCTGGGTTTAACTCACTTAACCCCCTGCGATAGCCTGACTGGACGCATTCAGGACCAGCCCTGGCTTCGCCAGTGGACACTGTCACCTGAGACTACAACTGAGAGTTCTGTACATTTGAACTACATTTCGAACGAAAGAAATATCCCTCGGTTTACTGGGTTCTGTAGACACGGCGCCTTTTATCAAATTAAGTCCAAGCAGTCAACTCACACTGAACAATATATTAGTTTTTTTTATTCAACAAGGCACAAACATTTTGTTTATATAACCCTTAGGTAAAAGCTGTAGCTCTAGCGACACGTTATTCCATTAAAAATTATAGGCGCATTCGCCACGGGTGGAAACTATGCCTTCCTTTTAAAAGTGAATAACTTTATTTTATCGAATGTGATTTCTACTCAGTAGTACAAGCACAAAACAGACAGTATGAACATATTTATCTTGCTTGTGACATAATATATGGTTGACGGCTTTACTGAAGTTAATATCAATTAATTTCCCTGAGGGCTCGCAGACTGTGACTACGTTGACCACGTAGGTTAAAATACACGACCTGCCAAATACTAGCCATGATCAAAGTGAAAATGATGATGTCAGTTGCATTCATTTAATTGCATATATACCAATAAATAAGATGAAATTTCTGAGTCAGACAGGGTAGAAACAGACAGAAGTGCCTACTCTGCTGTAAACAAATTCCTGACATATTCCATCAGGCCTGAAAGTCGCAGGTAGTTTGCAACAACAACTTTTAACCCATAACATGTATATGAACAGCAAAAGTACTTTAAAATTTTATTCTAAGTCGAAATGCTTGATTTTTTTACAAGGCTCTACTCCAAAACCATTTGTGTTTAACTGAATCAACTCAACCTTGGACCTTATCGATGCGCTTTATTCGTAAAGGTCTCTCTTACAATGTTGAACACGATAACACATTGCAAGAATTTATGCATGTTAAAGGGAGTGAATGTATCGTCAAGACTATTCAAATACAGCTTTCGAAACGTGTGTACACTTGGACACACAAAAGTTGACGGAAGTGAACTTCACGAGCCAGCTGCCCCAATTCCTGGAAAATTCCCTCAGTGGGCATCGGAGGGAACATCTCCTTTCACCTGTCTACAAGATGGTACATACTCAGACTAAAACCTATTTTCAAAAGGGGCCAAGATTTTTGTTCAGCTTACAACGCCCTCAGTTGTTGTGTCTGAACTTTGTCGATATGTTGTCGAACACGACATAAAAGGCATTGAAATTTTTCAATCTTATCCAATGGAGCCGCTACCATTTTTACGACCTGAATATAGAAAACATTTCCGTTTGAACACGGCTTTAGGAAGTGAGTCTTTATTCTGAGAAATCAAACATAAAGATGGGCTTGTGCATGGAGCTTTGAATGATGGAAGTGCGGACTTCATTCCAATCGCAACATCAGAATTGCCGTTATTATTCCGAAAAAGGCATATTAATATTGATTTCGCGTTGGTTACTTTAACGCCTCCAGATAAACACGGATTTTGCTCCCTTGGTGCAAATGTCGGCTCATGCCGTTCCGCAATTCAGAATGCAAAGATTATTATTGGTAATTTACTTCTAAAACACACGATTGTTGTTTTTAAGGACAAGTGAACCCACTTTCTCCGAATACCTATGGGGATTCAACCGTTCATACGAGTCAAATCGATTTTTTTATGTACGGCCCACAACAATTTGTTTATCCGGCCCATCCTCCACCATCCCCCACCGAAACAAAAATTGCCAGACTTGTAGTTGAGAATCTGGTTGAAGATGGAGCAACAATTCAGTTAGGTACGTGAATAAGCTTTACGCTTCAATGAAAATTTTCTGGAATTAAATGAATTGTAAAATTAAGGTTTAACGTTCTCTGTAATCTTTCTATATTATATATAGTTTAATTTCAACTTATGCAAAAGGCCGAGGCAAAATGCTCACATAAAACTGAATGAATATTTGAAATGCAAGAATTTTATCATAACATGCAAGAATATTCGTGAAGTGTACTTACGATTTTGCCACTTTTTTGTGCAATTCTATCGCTAAGTAAACACAACGCCAAACCAAAATATTCTTTAATTATTTGGTCGTTTGTTAGCGCGTTTTACATCATTGTGAAAATTATGTTACAGAGAAGCGCACCTATTGATGTAGTCAACTTGCTGACTCAAAAAAGGAATCTACATTTTCTAAAGAGCTTTCTTCAGGGAATATGAAAGTGAAGTTTGTGGACTGTATTTACACTTGTGGGCCATTGGGTGTAACCTGAACTTAAACTGCTGCCTAAAAACAGCACTTTCACTGGACGTTCATTTATCAAAATTATTAGTTTTCCTAAAATAGCCCTAATTTGTGCAGGCTTCTTCCACATTTTACAAATAAAAATAGTCACTAATATCAAGCACGAAAAAAAACCAAAGGTAAAATAAAATAATAAAACATAATTAAGAAAATATGCTGAGTATTTTAAAAAGAGTTATCGAAACTGGTCAAGCATAGACAAAAATAAGGTGCTGAATTGACCGATCTAACAAAATTGGAATGGTATTTCGGAAAATCACGAAAATATTAGACTGAAATAAAAAAAATTCTCTTAACTGATGAGAAGGAAGGGTTTTGGTTGTCTTTAGACGCCTTTTTCTCTTTCATCACGAAGTTCACAAATACCTATCCAGTAGGCATTAAGGCAAAAATTTCGTTATTAAATTTTGGTTTGATTTTTTTCTAAATTGACCGGTTATCCATATGTTTGTCCGGTTTCGGACTATCTGGAATTTACGGAAGGAAGCAGCTCTACACGAATGTACAACAATATGAACGGAACTCTTCTTAAATTTCAGGAATTGATCGCATATCAACTGCAGTGGGATCTATGCTGGTAAACCATAGAGACCTCGGAGTACACAGTGAAGCTATCACCGATGAAATTGTTGATCTCGTTAATCTGGGCGTTATTAGTAATGCAAAAAAACATGTTCGACGTGGTCGAATTGTGGCATCGTATGCAATTGGCACCCAGAAAATTATGGATTTCATCAATCTCAATCCCAGTGTTTGTAAGTTCTCTTTGCTTGGTTACTTTTAACCTAAGAAATGCTTGACACATACTGATTTTATAAATTATTGTATTTATTTTGCAATCGACCTGGTATGCCTCCAGATGTCTCCGGCTCTTTTGAAAAAGTTTCTATTCATTCAAAACGTAACGTTCCACGAACGTTTCGCAACATTCTCAACAATATGAGTAGACCTGTCATCTTGTGTCGTACAAAGTAGAGGTGGTGTTACATCTTGGCAAGAATGTGACCTGCTAATTTAATATTAAAAATTATGTTTTTACATTATAGCGACCACTGATCATATGTTAGTGGAATTAAAAATGTCAAGCTTGGTCAATCCTGCCCAGAAACGT